AAAAAAAAATGTAATTGTCCATAAAGTTCCAAGAATAAAACTGATCAAGGCTGAATGCTATGCCAAAAATGCCAAAAAAGCAAAGGAAGTTCTTTAAACCTTCTACAGGCATAAATAAAGCAGAATTAGACAGGAAGAGCTCACAACTCTGTTGCAAAGAAAAAGCAAAAGTAGAACAGGGGAAAGGAACATTGTGGTTCAGAAGAGTATTTCAGTATTAGAGTATCTTCTGAAAACATTAAGCAATATTGAATGGTTCACACTCATAAGAACTGGGAGTAGGAGAAATAGTGGAAAGATAGAAGGAAAGTGGCTTTCTATTCATACGGAACAACTTCTATACTCTTCTCTGTCAACACCATGTCTTGCTGTCCACTGAGAACAGCAGGGTAACTGATGTAAGATGGAGGATAGTAAGAACAGGATTTTTAGCTTAAAGTAGGACTACAAGAGGTAATATTAATTTTAAAACACAGATAATCTGAATGATTTTGTTTGTTTTTTTTTGTTTGTTTTTTTTTTTTTTTTAGTCTTTGTGTAAATCACCTCTCAGGAATATCTAAGCTTGAATCCAATAGTATTGAAACAAGAAACTCAACACTGTCACCCCAACTTTTCCTTCATGTAATAGATATTAAGGAAATTATTTATTTTTTTTCCTGTAGAACTGATTCAGGGAAGGACTGAAGCACATACTCAGGTTCCACTGGCCTGCCCAAGATGTGAATGTATGACACTTCTTTAACACTAATACATGATGGAAAGAAGACAAACATCTGAGCAATATTGAGAATTGGTTCTGAAGCCAAACACTGTAAGGCAAACTTAAGACAATGCCATGTGAGAGACAAGGCTTATCAGACCACGTGTAGCACCACAATAATGTGGTAATACTGCTTTTGGAAGCAGCTTAGTTTCTTGCTGTACATTCCATTGCAAAAACAGGAGCCATATACATAAATTCAGCAAGACTTGAATGCATGGTTAAAGTTAAGCAACCAGTTGGTGTAGCAGGTCAACTATTTCCAGCAAGAAACTTCAAAGCTTATTTACAAATGTTCCAGCAAACACCAAGAGACTAAAATTTCATCAGTAAGTATGACCAAGCAACTAATACCTCTGCAGCAGCCTAACAGTCTAAGTCTCTATCTATTATTTTCTGCTTCTTTAATCAGTGTCTATAACAGTACAGCAAATATATCTGAACATCAAAGATCATTATGATGTGGACTGCAAGGTACAAAATGGCCTGGAGGAAAGACATTATGCTTTTTGAAGCCTACTTTTGGTACTACAGAGAAAACTAGAGATAACGAGGCATAATGAGAACAATTATTTTGTGTGTCATTATAATTTTATATTAAACACAAAGTAATCATCAGCACAGAATGACTCTTGGTCTAATTGAAAGAGACGTGACAGCTAACACCCATTTTTAACTTTTTTATTTGTTTTGATATTTTGGAAGGCTTCCTTTGCTATAAAAGAACACTCAAATAATGTGAGCTGTTTTATATCAGTTGGGCTGCTTGTTAAGTTGAAGGCAGCACTTGCACTTTTCCCTCCCTAATGTCAAAACACGTATACAGCCACTTCAGGATCCATAAACTACATTAATCAATCTTGCCTATTTTTCCCTCAAGTGCTGACAAACCGTAAGATGCAACACTCAGATCACTTTAAACATATTTGAAATACTAGTCATAACCAAAACTGCAGATGAACAAGCCCAGGAACAGATGCAGCTAAGGCATCCCAAGTCCTCATTACGCCTCCGCCAGCCAAGGGCGCGGCAGCCAGGAAAGCCGGCACGTGCATGGTGGCTCGGAGGCGGCATCACCACCCTCTACTCACTTGACTCTCCCATGGTGTATTTTGGGGGGTTTCTGAGAGATGAGCCACACAGCATGCATTTGAGTATTTTTTCCACACTGCCAGTGATTGATGAGAACAGACTGGGGAAACGTAAATTGGAGAACAGCCTGTGGAAACATAAATGGCTGCCTGCGGAGCTAGGGGCTTTCTCACCTGAGGCAGAACACTACGTCTCTGCCTGCACTGCCTGCAAGATGCCCGTGAGGGGGCCACAAGAAAGTGCTGGCGAGGTGCTTTTCACCCATTTCTCCACTGAGGATTGAAGATGGAGAAGGTGCTGATCAAGTTTGCCTGGAAGTCCCACGACAGCAGAGGAGATTATATTGTGACACATACTACAATGCAAAGGACCTGATTATAAACCACCACCATGTGAGACAACCCTGTTCCCAGAGCAGTTCAGACACATTAGTACACAAATGCACCTGTGCTAATAGCTTGCCTCTCAAATTACCTTATTAGTACAGCACATCAGCTCAATGTTGTTTCACAGCATCCAGCCACAGAATGGCTTTCACCCTGCTAGGCCAGAATACAGATGGATCTGGAACAAAACGCTTGACTCCTTGCTTTAGCAAAGCTGGTCTTCACAGATTTCTACTTCCTTATCAGTTCCCACACAGGGAATTTTTGAAAGGATCCCTCTTTGCTTAGGACAGAACAAGCTCTTGTTCAGAAGCTCTTTGCGGGAAAAGAGAGGAAAAGAAGAACCATCAGGAAAAATTATTCTGCCGCTCAAATATGATCAGAAGTAAGAAAATACTCATGAGGAGAAATGGCTGCGAGTTGAGGAAAACAGAGAAATGAGGAGTGGCAGCCTCTTCTTAGCAGCCGAAAAGGATGGAAAGCACTTCTCCACTACCGTTTGACTGAGCAGTCCATTGTTTCGCTGTCTGAATAGCCTATTTATCACTAGCATTCATAAAACTAAAAAAAAAAGAGGCAAACAAAAATAAATTGTTTTTCCTACGTCAACCTCATTTAATTACTGAAGAGTAGTTTGAATTGTTGATCTCCTCATGCTTTGGCCAGATTGGCAGCCAGTCTGGTCCAGTCAGGCTTGCCTGATTGTATGAGAAATAGAAAATAAAATTAGCATAGTCAAAGCCAGGGATAATCTAGGAAGTATTCACAGTAATGAATAGAGTTGGGTGACAGGTCACTTTAGCTGGAAGTTTCTGATACCCAGCCTTGCTACAATGTGTGTGGGCTAGTAAATATTCAGCAGAAGTTTAACAGAATATTTGAAGGAGATTTACAGTCAGCTCAATCATGTCTGTATCACCACACTGACACGCTGTCTTTGCTTTTGCATACCTTACAAGAAACCTAATGTCAGCTTATATGGCGAGAAACCAGACAATCATATATACATAAGTCTGTGCATACGAAGATGTGTATGATGAAAATAGCTTGTCCTGTCTCCTGGGAGCATAATACCCAGTAGTCTAATTTCCAGACAACACTGCCGCCAATCCTACTGTTGGACAAAAACTAGAATATTATTTTATTTTAATCACAAAAACTGGCTCAAAGCAAGCAGACAACTATTAATACAGTCTGTGATATCTGGCAATCTCCACCAAGGACAGAAACGGAACATACATTAACTATTTAAGCAAGTGCACACACATTCTTTTCTTTCCAAGGAATGTCAACATTTTAATGCAAGCTTTACATCATCACTAAACCGGTAAGTCTCACAGCATCATACAATCACTCTGATGTGCTGTCTCTGTCTCACTATTCAGTTATTTCTCTTAATTTCTTGCCTTCCTGCACTAGTTTTGAAAAAAAAAAAAAAAAGAAAAAAAAAGTAAAAGAAATGGGATGTACTTGTTCACAGTTAATAAAAAGTCACTGACTGCAGCAACAAGTTTAATAATTTTACCTAGGGCGACAAATTATATGAAGAAGAGTTACAAAATCAGACTGACAACTGACAAGCTACTATAATGCCACTTTTCAAGGCATCGTATCTGCCAAATCTACTTTTTCACTCCCTATCAGCTCACAGTAACACCTGCATTTGCCTCTCACTATCACAGCTTTTAGGCTACAGCACAATATAACTGCCTAACCAGGAAGCACACCTCTGTCAGCAGATGACTTTGCATCATATAACGGGCTTCGAGCAGAGAACTGGAAAAACTCAAGTGCAGTATGTTGAAGTGCTGTCAGATTTTTCTTTCACAGACAGGCAAAGCAATCAAGTTATTCCTTCTCACTTCTGATGAATTGTGAATAATGAAGGCTTAGTCGATGCTGACACTGCACTCACAGGTGGTATTTTGACTTTTCTCATATAAACTTGCTAGTATGCCAAGAGCACTGGAGCCAGGCAGTGCCAAGTTGAGGATCCCAGATGGATCTGCCATATATGCTGAAACCACAGACCCACAGCTAAACACCGTTACTGATCCCAAAACTATCCGGTTTATTGCCTGTTTGGATGTGTTTACACTAGCTGTAGTCACATTTCATTACAGCATAGATATAACCTTTGAGAGCAGTAGCTGGGCAATGTTACGAATATCTGACATTTATGCATTAACAGGAAGGTAGAAGTACTTGACAATAACTCTTTACAGTACTTGTATGCAGGAGGAACTACAGTAATTTCCTCGGCTGAATAATATGACCTCATTTCCTCATTTTTATTATGTAGTATTGACGTTATTTGCATCAGATGAAATAAAAGCATCCCTGATGCTGTCTTTTACTATTTCTTGTATTTTCCAGTCATAGAGAACAGAACATTCGGTGAACATATGAAAAACCTTCATTAGCATGATAGATACCAGACTCCAAATGGAAAATTACCAAGGTGGGGTCTGTAATACTAACAATAGATTTTTAATTCCAAAATACAGAAAGAAGATCAATGAAAAAGAAAGTATCCTCTTACCTTAGGGTCTCATTTTCCCCCGTTAATGACAAACCTGTAACACCTAATCAAAACACATTCCTGCTTTTCCTCATTTTTTACTAATGTACCTACTACTGCAACTTAAAATGACATTTCCTGAAGTATCTTCTTTAGATGCAGCTGATAAAATCAGACAATTCAAAGGCAAAGACAGATAGGAATAAAGAAAGAATTCACCATAAAGAGCAAAAATTACCTTTAGCAGGGTTTACTTTTATCCCTGACCTATACAGCATCTCCTCATTCTGCCAGTCCCCATTCCTGACAACAGTCTTGAGTCCATAGAAAACAATTAATGCAGCAGTGGAACAAAAAACCAAGTTCTTCAGAAAGCGCTTTTGGGCTTTGACATAAAGGGCCCTGACACCCACTGTAACCAGCAGGCAGAAGCCCATACTAGGAACATACAGCACACGCTCTGCTATTACAAAGCCAACATAGAAAAATAGGTTTGTGGCAGGAACAAAGGGCACTATTAACAAAGACAGAGACAAAATGACAATGTTCTCAGTTGAAGGAAGCTGTAGTTTCTGTATTTCATGCTTTTTTATACCATTCTCTTCTTTTGATGCAAAGCTTGACTTCACTTCCAGTGTCTTGTACTCCATCTCTGAGTGGTAGCTATGCCCATTAGCATTCTGCTTGCCGTTTATTACAGTTTTCCCATTGCATTCTCTCTCATTACTGGAGCCCTTCAAGCTACAGTAGGCAAGGAAGAGGAGTCCAGCATAGAAGGCCACAGTGTGTAGATTCCTCCAGTCGCTGACTGCTTTCAGAAGAGGCACAGCATCCATAGACCAGTCAAAGCTGAGGGTATCTGGGCACAGCAACAGCCAGAGGTTCTTGGTTGGCAGGTAAAAGAAGGTCAGCGTACGTGTGAGAAAACTGTCCGAGTCAGCTGCTGGATTGTCAGAATTGGAAAAACTTGGGGGCTTGTTGCCCATCCAGTATAAGCGGGCACCCAGCAGCGTAGTCCCCCAGGAGGTCAATAAACCAATGCTGAAGAAGAGGGTCATATTCTTTCTCTGGGGGAGGGGGGAAAAAAAAAAATCATCAGCATAAATCAACACCACATGTTTAATTCTATAAATTATAAACAAAGGGAACCAAGAAATATCTGATACAACTTTTTTTTTTTTGTAATGGAAACAAGCACTAGAGATCTTTGGTCTCTGAGATTTGGATCACAAAATGTTGGAGTATGCTGTTGACCACAGACTAAAAGAGCAGGCTCTTTCATTTAAGCTGTATCAAGCCTTTAACAGACTCAAGCCTTTAGCAAGTTTAGCGCTGTCAGTCCTTGCTTAAGATTTAGTTGTGTAACCCTTTGAAAACTTTATTTTAGAGGAGTTTATGGAATCTTACAGTGGTTCCTACATTGCCTCCCAAAATCAATTCTTTGCTCCTGGCTGTGACCAAAACACCAGCTTGCCTTAACTAGATTTAAAGTTTAAAGAATGTTCCATTTCCCTTTTCCCTAATTAATGGGAATTTCAAAAAGGAATTTATCTCAAGGTATTTCACCTGAGAACTACACTTTCCAAGCAGGCAAGAGAGGAAAACAGACACAGATTCCATGTTTATGTCTTCCAGCTCCTACCTATTAACCACAGTGATCATTTGGAACCTTCAGATCTGCCTACTACTGAAAGCCCCACTTCATTTTGCATCTTACAGCCAAACTTGTTGGGTTTTTTCTTCAAGCTCACCATATTAAATAAGTGCTCTAAAACCTTTCGCATCTTCATAACTATCTAAATAGTATTATGTGAAGCATACAGCTGACTCCACCTACCCATGTCATCATGCTAGCAACTTGAAGAACCTCCACTTATTTATGGAATAACTCAACATTTGCCATCTGGAGCTGCTTGCTGTGTTCCCCCTTGCTGCATCCGAAAGCGCTTACTCGTTCAAATGCTTGCAGAAATACAGCACCTCTGCCTAAATGAGAATCAGGAAGCAAGATTTTCTCACCTATTTCTAGGACTGATGAGCTTAAGTTCTGCTCTCAATTACATGGGCACCCTAAATGAAAGCTGTTTTGGATTACTCTCTCTTTGATGAAGAATCTGCAAAAGTTAAAATATGTCTATTTTTATATTTCAATTTCTTGGATGCCTTGTGTAAGAAAAGAAAAACTATATGCCAAAAAGCTTCAGATACAGTGTAAGCACTTTGATAATCTTTCCCCCCTAAAAGAATTATTTGTCAATCATTATTCATTGTATTAAGTCTGTTTTTTCCATCTCACACTATACATTCCTGGGATGGTTACTCAATATTTCCTCAGTTATTCAGAAGCAGGACCTCACAGTGGAATGTTTTATCTTATTTCTTTCAAACAGCTCATTTTTCTCCCTTGTGGGGGGACTCTCCCCTTGATATCATGAAATACAGATGATTGTGCTGCTCCATTTCAGGTCAATGATTAACAGCTTTCTACCACCAAGTTACTGGTGTTCCAGTAACAAGACATGGTCTGGTCATCATAATTTAACTGCTTATCTCATGAAGAAATTTATTCCTTTTCACATTCCTATAGAGTTTCTCCTTGTGAAGTTTAGAATATTCAATGGCAGTTAGATTAATTAATTCAATTTTGAGGCAATATGGAAGAATTCAATGGAAGCATCAGTAGGGAACAAACAAATTTATAAAGAGTATATTTACGTACTTGTATCAGAACCACCTAAAAAACGTTCACACTTTTATAACATGAAGTAGAGACTGAGTCCAGATATTTCATTTGCCATATTAATTCCAGTTTGATTTATTAGCTTTTGTATATTTTCATATCCTGGAAAATCAACAACTTTTTGGTAATAAATCAATCAAAATCTACATCTACACTTTATGATGAATATAGTCCCGGGAAAGCCTACTGTAACAACCTACTTGTATTTGTAAGCCAGGTAATGCTTCATAACTCATCTCAGATACTGTTTCATCCCTGCCTGTCAGGACCGTTTAAATGATTTTAATGTTATAAAGCTGTGTAAATTGGTTCTCGCTGAAACTCCCAACAAAGTTATATTTGGAATAAAAAGATTATTCAGATTTCATGGATTTGCATGTATGCCCTTACAATAAAACCTTATGTCCCTGGTTCAACTTATCTTTTCATTCCCATCATATTTTGCTACATGAAAATTTTTTTCGCTCACCCCTCTGGCTCAATTATTTTCAAACTAATTTAATTCAAACATTCATATAAAGAACTCTCAAATGTTAAGTGTGACCGTTTTTGCTCTTTTTTATATACCCTTCTACAGCCTAGAGAAGTCTGCTTAAACAAGAGGAGGCTAGGAAGAGGGAGATGGGGATTTTTGTTTGTTTGTTTTAATTAGAAATTCAGTGCAGATCTTTGCTGGAGGGCTATATACCACTTGAAAGATTAAGACATCCCAAATACTAAGCAAGTAAAATTTGCTTAACAGATAAGAAGTGAGCTTTCATGGATTGCTTAGACTGCTTTGTTATTTTGCTAATAGTTAACAACTGGAAACAAAATCTCCCTTTCCTGAAGATCTGGCCAGTGCACTTTTCAATTAAATGCTAAGAAAGTTCACATTACAAAGGTCTTTGACAAAACCATACTAGAGCAGATAGGCCATTCCTCGTGGATTATGGTGAAACCTGATAAAAACTTTCAGATCATCTTCATACATCATAAAACAATAACAATGAAAACCTTGCCTCTTACTCCTAGCCCTAGAAATGCAAACAACATGTACCTCAGAGCTAATCCATCCTCACTGCTGGAGTAACTATTTGCAGTCTCTCTTTTAGGCTTAAATTTAAGATCTATAAGGTCCAGAACTTCACACTTCTTGGTTCTACAAAGAACACAATTTCTCTATATGATGTATTGTGTTTGATGATTTAACAAAAATTAAAAAAAAAACAAAACAAACAAAAAAAAAAAAACAAAAAAAAAAACCAAACCAAACCAACCAAACATTCTACACCAGTGTCAAAATATCTAGACATTCACGCATGGAGCTCAGAAATATCAAAGTGGGTGGTTTTCCACACCAGCATATCAATTTGTCATGCTGTAAAATAACAGTTAACGAGAGAAGGAGCTCTGGTGGATTCTTTGGTTTAATTAACTGAGTACAGGAATATTCAGTTAATTAAACCTCTTGTTGCCTCAGACACAAATGGTTTGCATCCTTCCACAGAAACTATTTTGGACATGGACCTTCTCAAAAGCTGGTAGCTTTGTATCTTTTTTAAATTAACTGAGTGTTAACTACAGCTACGAATAACTCGTTTAACATTGACATGCCACTGTGAATTTTCAGATTTCAGAGGAGAACCAAGACTAAAACTGAAATTCTGTCACAAAAAATTTAAGTAGGACGCCTTTTTTTTTTTTTTTTTTTTTTTTTTTTTTTTTTTTTTTTTAATCACACATAGGTAACGCCGGCTTGGAAGGGGAATGACAAATTTATTTCCCTTTTTTCCTCTCTCAACATTCATGAATTTTGCACAGCTCTGTACTAAAATAGTCAGAGATAATTAGAAAGGTTTAGCTCACATTTTGGCTTTACTTTCTTCCAGGCTTTGTGTAGCAAACCAAAGGGAAAAAAATCCAACCCACTTACAGCAATTCATTAAAATTAAGTAATATAATCAGTTCCCCAGCAGACTCCTGCCTGCAAATAAAGTGCTTTCAAAATGAGCTCTGCTCAGACAAGCACTTTCACTAGCAACTCTTCCTCTGAGCTTCCTGACAGCCTGTGCTACTCTGACTGTGTACATTTAGTGTAGCCCAGCAGCAGGAAGAGATCCTCTGTAATGCTTGGCAGAAAGGATTTGGATTACTATACTCATGAGTCCTAATCCAGCCCATCTGCCATATGTTTTGACACCCCCATAAATCCTCTAACCTTTCATAAGTAGTCATTTTCATCTGGGAAAAAAAAATGAGCACTGATTTAGATCAGATTTAACATCTCTCCTGCCTGCTAACAGTCAAGTACCACCACTGCAATTTTAGTGTTTGTGACTGCAGAAACCTTTTTCATCTCCCTACCAAAATCCATCTGCATGACCCACCCACATTGCACATTTCCCTTGCATTAAATTCTAATTCCTCACTCCATTATACTGCTCTTAAATAAGACACTGCAGCAGATTTCTTGATTAGGCAGCCCCTGCCAAAGCTCAGTCATCACCTAGGTGGTATCCAAAGCATTTTCAAAAGACACTATTCTTTTAACCTCACTCTGTCCATTTCACAAAGCAGCATTAAATACAGCACATGGTCAAGACAGTCCAGATATCAAAATCACCAGGGCTAACCACATGCAAAATGTTATCCTTAGAAGTCAGGAAATGCAGGAAAGCAAGTGGGTAAATCACTAGGAATTACTCACAGGAGTTTCTTTTCCAACTTAGAGCTCCTTTAAAACATGTATGCTTGAGAACTGGGGCTTCCCAAAGTAGTAAAACAGCTGTGAAATCACTGGACTGACAGTATCTTGTTTCCACGGTAGGTAGAGACTCCTGGATCACAGCTCGGCTGAGTTTGAGCTCAACTAGAATTTAAAATGCATCTCCACAAGGGACGAAGCTATTTGCCACAACCCCTGCTGGGACATAGTACTGAGCTGGAAGTGGCTTTTACTGCTCCCGCTCCACCTGCCCAGTTTGTTCCTGCTTGCATGACCCTACTAAATGAGGTTCACTCATTTACACTGGTGATACAACAACAGCTGGCCTGAAGGTCTGTTCTTCCTCTGAGTTAGAGCTCTGCCTATAGCTTATCCAATATTGTGACAAACTGTACATATTTAATGACATTTACTTCTAGTGTTATGAACTCACACCTTTCTTTCTCAACAAGGAAGTCAGTGCATTCATAAAACAGCTGGAGATGATGTGTACATATTTTTTACTGTAATAAGCAAGTAACATAATCTAAGCAGTCCTTATTGCTGTTTATTTGACTTACTAAAATTTAAATTAAGTTATAAATACTGGAATTTAAAATTGCTCAAAGTTTTCCTCTGAAATGTTTAATATGAATCCTTAAAGTAAAAAAAAAAAAAAAAAACCAAAACAAACCAAACAAACAAAAAAACCCCAAACAAAACAAAACAAAACACCAAACAAAACCAACAAGAAACTCAGATCTCTCAGCTGAAAAAATAGCTATAAGGAGTACAGGGGAAAAGATAAATTGCATTATGAGCAGAAACTGTACGAATGACTGAAGGTAGTACAAAGGCAGAAGGGACTACATTAGCTTGATAATGATCAGTGCAACAGAGAAGGCTCTCTCTGCAGATAAATTTACACAGCCAAATATAGCGTGACAATGGTGACACTATGGATATCTACCCAGGGTTAATCCATCTATCTGCAGCAACAAGAACTTAACACAGGAAGTTAGAAGCCCACTGAGATCAAAAGACATTCCTGAATGACCAGACTGCTCAGGAATGCTGTCCAGCACTGCTGTTATCCCCACTCAGGTAGATAGGTGGTCCAACAGTCATACCTGCACTTCATTTAACAAGTATTGTCTCAATTAAGAGCCTTTGCAGTGAAGGAAGGGTGCTGCACCTTCTGCACTTCCCAAAATGCTGAGAGCTCACTGAACATGCAAGTATGGTGGAAGGCAGAACTGGAATTCAAAATGATCTTGAAAAAACAAAGAGATGTTCAGAAAAATTAACTTGTATAAAAGGCAGAGGAAACTCCGACTGCTTAAAGCTACACGAGACGTGGAAGAAGTACTTGGCTCATCTTCAGAGGAGAATTAGGGATTATCACACACCACAAGCAACTCTTTCAAACAATTGTTAAAAAGGTAAACACTATACCAAGACTACAGATGAAAGCACACCCTTCAAGATATGTGAAGTAATCCTTCCACTCTTCTCAGTACTAGTAAATCCTAAAAGATTCCAGCACAGAACTTTCAGAAATAAATTAAGGGACTAGACAGAGCAACATAACAGAGCAATTCATATAAATTCAATGGGAACCAAGGGAAATTTCCAGCTGTGGAAAACAGCACCAGTTTGCCTCTGCCATGTGGATTACAAGGAAGCAGGATGGTCTTGTAGACGAGTGGCACGGCTGAGGTTGGCAGCACAGCTCAGCATTATACTTGAGCAACTTGATGAGTAGGCTTGCAGAGTCCCAAGGAGAAAGGAAGCTTTGCTCCAGTCCTACTGGGAAGGCAAAAGCTGTACCTGCTGTATAGCCAGACTGTCCTCTGTAGTAACAAACACACCTGAAAATGAGTACAAAAGGTCGGGACCCACCACATCATTTGTATCTCCTACATCGTTTTAAGTAAATCTGACCTGACAATGCTTTTGAACTACTCATCCTGTATGAGTGTTGGTAACTTACTAAAGCCCTGCTCATTTGAATGGATGGGGAACGACAGGCCAGTCAGTCTCACCTCTGTGCCCAGAAGGATGATGGAGCCAATCCTTCTAGAAACTATGCTAGGGTACATGGAAAATAAGGAGATGATTGGTTACAGTCAACATGGATTCACTAAGGGCTAATCATGCCTAGCAAATTTGGTGGCCGTCTACAACAGGGTTACAGTGTTGGTGGATAAGGGAAGAGCGACTGGTGTCATCTATCTGTAATTGTGCAAAGCATTTGACACTGTCCTGCATGACATCCTTGTCTCTAAATTGGAGATACAGATTTGATGGATGCATCACTCGTTGGATAAGGAATTGGTTGGATGGTCACACTCAAAGGGTTGCCATCAATTGCTTGATGTCCAGCTGGAGAGCAGTGATGAATGGCATTCCTCAGAGTTGGTATTGGGACTGGTGCTGTTTAACATCTTTGGTGGCAACGTGAACAGAGGGACTGAGTGCACTCTCAGCAAGTTTACTGATGACACTGAGCTGTGTGGTGCGGTTGACACGACTGAGAGAAGGGATGCCATCCAGAGTGACCTTGACAGGCTTGAGAGATGGGCCCTTGTAAACCTTATGAAATTCAACAGGGCCAAGTGCAAGGTCCTGCACATGGGTTGAGGCAATCCCAAGCACAAATACAGCCTGGACAATGCATGGATTTAGAGCAGCCCTGCAGAGGACTTGGGAGCAGTAGTGTATGGAAAACTACCTATGAGCCAGCAATGTGTGCTCACAGCCCAGAAAATCAACCATATGCTGGGCTATATCAAAAGAAGTGTGTCTAGCAGTCTGAGGAAAAGATCCTTCCCCTCAGCTCTGTTCTCATGAGACCCCACCTGCAGTACTGTGTTCAGCTCTCAGGCCCCCAGCATAAAAAGGACATGGACTTGCTCGAGTGGGTATAGAGAAAGCCATGAAGATGATCTGGGGGCTGGAACATCCCTTACGAGAACAGGCTGAGTTGGGGGTGTTCAGCCTGGAGATGAGAAGGCTCTGGGGAGACCTTATAGTGTCCTACCAGTACTTAAAGGGGGACTACAAGAAAGCTGGGGAGGGACTCTTCATCAGGGAGTGTAGGGATAGGATGTGGAGTAATGGTTTTAAACCGAAAAAGGGTAGACTTAGATTAGATATAAGGAAGAAATCCTTTACTGGCACAGGTTGCCCAAAGAGGTTGTGGCTGCCCCCTCCCTGGAAGTGTTCAAGGATGGGTTGGTTGGGGGTTTGAGGGACCTGGTCTAGTGGAAGATGTCCCTGCCCACCGGCAGGGGGGTTGGAACTAGGTGACCTTTAAGGTCCCTTCCAACCCAGACAATTCTATGATTCTATGATGATATGTATTTTTTCCTCTAAAGGAAGTTTGTTGTGCTCTTCTGTACAATGTACAGGCACGCTTAATGAAAAAAGAAGCAAAGTATAAAATGGCTCTTAAGAGCACATGCAATCCTACCTATAAACCTACCACCAAAAATTATTACAGTACATTTCACGTTTCCTACACTAATAACATGGCAATAAAGGAAAATTAAAGCCTAACAGCTGGTTTAATATGCAGTGGGAGAAAAACATACTATAAGAACGTACATAGACACACACTTTTTAACTAAGGCAAATAGGAATGGATTTTATGAGCAAAAATGTCATTTAATCCCAGATTAAGCTTCTGGCAATGACTAAGCAACTTTACCAATCCAGTAGAAGGAAGCCATCAATAATCAATTTCTGTACATGGGATAAATAGCAAATTGGCTCTATATTTGACATAACATCTTATCTAGGGGTAATAGGAATCCATAAGCTGGAAGCCCATCAATCTACAAAAGTCAGTCTCTACAGTAGATAACAAGCAGCATCTTATGTGTTTTTTTGTTTTTCTCTTTGCCCACAGAAAAACTGAGGTGTTTCGTTTGTTTTATTTATACCTTTAAAATATAGCAAAAGAACAAGCAGCGAAGTTATCTTGAAACTATACTCACAACAAAGAAAATATATTACAAATTTGAATACTTCATTGTAATTCTTCCAGTAAAGCTTAAACACAACATTTTCAAAGAGAAACACAGATAATATTAAAAGTTTATGTGAAATACAGAACTTGCTTATCAACTCAGAAGGCACTGTATATTATCAAGAAAGATTCACTTCAGATCATACAAGTAGTCACTTATTTACTTTGAAAAAAAGAATATCTAAAGATAGTTTTGGTGCATATATTTTATTTTCAGATTCTACAGGTTCAGCAAAAGAAGGAAAAAAATTTGACTCAGAACCTATTTGTGTGACTAACTGAATACAGATTATGTTGTGTCTAGCAAAATTATTTAAAAAAAAAAATCCCTCCCCCCCTTCTACACTCACCCACCCATGAAATACATTTATTTACGAGGTGGTACAAAAGAATGGTCAAAAGACAGTCACAAGTAGCGCAACTTTTATGCTTGATGTCAGTACCGTTAGAAGTAAGAATAAATTTCACAGCATCAGACACTTACTAGACATTTATTTCAGATGCAGTGCTTATTATAAATAACAGCCTAAAGGACATCTCCTGTGGTCTGGATGCAATCTCTGTATAATTTCTACTTATTCTATGCTACACTACCATCATATTTCAAACAATGGGAACCACAAAGAACTGGAGAAGCTAAAGGCAACACAGCAATGACTACCAGTCTCAGAAAGCCTTCAGAAAAGTGGCTTACAGTAAGAACTACATACCTTCAAGATTCAAAGTCACTGCCAACAGGAGATGAAAGGTAATTCAAAGAGAATGCTAACAAATAGTATGTTACCACCACTGATGAAAAGCTTGGTTTCCAAGTATTTTGACAGGAACTCCTCTCACACTCCTAGTCAAAACAAATGGTCTGAAGCACATCTACATGTCTCCTTTGTCATCTAACCTAGTCTTACCTCCAATGGAGCTAAGCAGGTAGCTATGAAGCACTGGCAATAAAATTCTGGAGATATTTGCTTAATTGGAGGAGAATAAAAAACTTCTGAAAGAAATTAAATGAATAACTTTTGTAAGACCTGATCAGTAAGTACTGTGATCTCAGAAGGAAGACTGGGAACATTAACATTTTAATAACGATTTCATTTGTTCTTTTTCATTAGATCGAGTTAGTCTGTTATAGAATTGGTTATGCTCAAAGTCTAATTTGAAGAAGAGAGAGTTTGCTGTGTCCTATGTTAATTATTGGGGAAGTTTTTTTGTATTTATTCCCTATCGAATACACTAAATAGAAATGGGAATTAATACCTATTAGAAAATGGACAGAACAAATTAAACTTTTTGCAGCAGATAGCACTGGCTAGCTACATAAGTAATCAGTACACAGTGGTAGCAAAGAGTGTAGCAAATATATCACAGGAATAGAAATGCACAAATATAAGAATATTTAGCCAATAATAAAAACTGCAAACACTTCAATAGGAAATTTCCTCAAAAAGTATGTTTGATAAAAATAAAAGAATACCTTGAATAGGATGTCCTCTGCCTTGTTTCCCTACACATGAAATATGAAAAAAACAAAATAAAAAAAAGTGTTAATTTTTTCTACCCTTAGTCTAGATACATTTTTAAGGGATATTTAAAAGGACATGTAAGCGTAGCCTTTTTAAAAACACAAACTGCATTACTAGGGTCTGAATTAGAGACAGAGTTAAAGGTAAACCAATTACTGACCTCAGTAATGCAAAACTAAATCCTTAATAATCCAAATAAAGAGAGATGAAAAGTGGTGAAGCAGAATACGGATGACAAAACTTACTTCATGTCATGGGATGTCATTACTCTCCACTGAGCTAATGTGAAGAAATGAAGCAGTTAGCAATCTCCTGTGAACCAATACCAAGATACTTCTCAACCAAACTATTAGGGGGTGAAGTACTTAAAAGAGGTCAGTTACTGGTACAGTAAGAGGCATGCTGAAGCCCCTTAACTGGTTACAATTAGCCTTACTTGAAAGCCTGTACAGTTATCTTGTTTAGTTTAAAATAAGATCTTTAATATTTCCCACTAGGAATTATTTTAGGAGAAACTAAGATAATTATTTATTGTTAAATACATTTAGTACCATTATCAAAACATTTATTTTAAACAAGTTTCTCAGCTTTTTGGACAAAACAAAGGAGGAAGAAATAAAAACAGTACAAATGGAAATCATTTTGCCTGTAGATACTCATCCATATTCACACACACACACAGAGCCTTCCTTATTAATTCTGGGTTTGCAGGTCCAGTGCATTGCAAATGTGTTTTGGGCATCAAGGAAATAAATGCAACAGTCTTCTCTTAGTATGGTTCCAGTGCAAACACCCAGCCATTATGAAATTCATTCCAGTCTCATTAATGAGTGAAGTTTGGAAGTGCAGCATTTTGGAGCCATAAAGAGATGATTTATAATGAGATTTCACTCAGTGGGAAGGCCGAAGTAGAGCAGTTCTCTCTCCGAGTTATCGTAATAGAAAGCTATTTAATGAGTGTGAGATTTCTTCAAGAATTCAAAAAAAGGCAGGATTTGGAAGAGGATATGTTACATTATACAGACACCCACATCACTGAACGTTTCTGCTACAGTAAAACCATCAAAATAAAAATCCTCAAAGTTGTTCCTATTTTGAGCTTTTGGCTTGTTTTTAATAAACGCTTTCAAATGCAAAGCACAGATTTGTAGTGATTAGCAGACAGACATAATTCAGTATAAAAAACTTAGCAAGTTTAGTGAACTAAACTAGGTTGTCTAATGTCAGGCACTCCATAGTTCAAAGAAGAAAAAATTATGCCCTGAAGCAAGACACTGCCAGGCAAAGCAACAACAAACAAGCAGAGAGGTAACTTTCCTCAAAAAATTCAGCAGAAGCTGTGGCAGTTACATCCCTCTTTACGGCACTCTCCCCTTCAGGGGAGTGCTAAGCGTGCTAATGACTCAAATGCAATTACACACAAACCTGCATCCACCCCTTAATCCATGTCCAGATCAAAGCTACATCTAGTCCCCAACAATGATTTAAAAATAAATAAATTTCAGTAACCTGTATGCCATAATCTTCATGCATGAAATGGGGACATAAGGGATTTATGTGCTAGAAATTAATCACCTGGCTTTCAGGTTACATTATTGAGTTTGCTAATGAAAAAGAGCAGTGGAAAGGTGAGGAGAAGACACTGGAACAGAATATGACAGAATTCTTAAAATCAAAATGCAGGCATAACTGACTCAAATCACATTTATTTTCTAACTAGTAAATTCAGACTGTGGCTTATTCACAGTATAAGAATTTAGACAGCAATGAAGCTTTAGGATTTTTTTTTTTTATTTATTTTCTATTGTTTGCAGGGTGATCCGTTCCTTGCACAAAATGACATTGCGTCAGCCCAGTGGAGGGAACAGCGTAAGGGGGTGGAAAGCTGAAGGAAGCAGTGCAAATTCGTTAAACTGTGAATGCTACCAAAGGTGCCTATCAAGCTGTGACTTCCAAGAATATCACTAGGACAGCCTGCACTCTTGCCATGCATTGTAGCAGAACACACACACATCCTTACTTCTTCAGCAAACTGAGACTACTCATAGTAATACTTACATGAAAGCAGTTACAACTTCTAACTTAAGTAGAAGCATTTCATTTTTTTAAGTCTTGAAAAAAAAACCAAAGTTCCACTAAACATAAGATACATAGCTTACATTAAGACAAGAAGTTTTTGAGCTATCATGCACAAAGAAGGATTACATGGCCACAGAATTCCCTCCCACCTGGCAGTCTTAAAAACATCCATTCTGCACAAGGTGCTTGTTTTCAGGGTCAGTAAGTTACCTAGATGTCATGCCACTAAAGGTCCCAACTCCTTAGTCTTGCAGAAAGTTTTGTGACATATTTCCTTATCCCTTGAAAGTATGCACATCTTTAGCTCCTTGATAATCTTCAGAGAGTAAGATGAACTTCACTGCTTCAAACCATCTGCCCAACCCACAGATCCATCATCAGCTTATCATTCTCCTGTCAAAAGCACCTTAAGACTCCCTCTGAAACCTCCTCCATCTCTCCATCGTGGATGGAATAGCTATCCTCAAATCACTCCAGAAAGTGAAGATTCTCCCAAAGCCGTGCTATAAGTACTATGATGAAACGCACCTGATACCAGATCAAGATGCTTCTTCTGTCACCAGATCTGACGCAGATATGCTGAACTACATTAAGCAGATTGCTTAACCACCGTCTGTCTTCTTTTGCTCCAATCCTTCCCTGCTGCCTCTAAAGTCAGATGTTCTATTTGTAAAAGTATCAGGAGTTTGTAATGATGACTTCTATGGTACAGAAGAAGGTTCTGCTCCCTACGTCAATTATACAAATAATTAAGCACTACAGACAGTAGTGAGTTCTTTTACTGTACGAACTAGAAATTTTCTTCTAACATGTTTCTGCTGCACATATATCCAATGTAAATAACAACTTTCTATGACTTTATTTTCATCTTTCTTCACCCTCAACTCCTTTTACTGTTTGCTTCTGCCAAATGTTACACTGAAACGTAATGGTGCCTTTTGAAATGGTGGTGTCTGCCTTTATGCCTCATGTCTTGTAAAATTTAACATGACCCAAAACTGAATTCTGTGAAGACCAATTACAATATTCATAGAATCATAGAATGGTTTGAGTTGGAAGGCACCTCTAAGGGTCATCTACTTCCAACCCCTCCTGCAATAAGCAGGGACATCTTCAACTATATCAGGTTGCTCAAAGCCCCATCTATCCTGGCCTTGAAAGTTTTCAGGGATGAGGCATCTACTACTTCTCTGGGCAACCTGTTCCCACTCCTTGTAAAAAATTTCTTCCTTATATCTAGTCTGAATCTACCCTCTTTTAGTTTAAAACCATTGCAACCGCTATCATAAGAGGCCCTGCTGAAAAGTCTGTCCTGATCTTTCTTATAGGCCCCCTTTAAGTATTGAAAGGCTACAATAAGGTGTCCCCAGAGCATTCTCTTCCCCAGGCTGAACAATCCCAACCCTCTCATCCTGTCCTCATAGAAGTGTTCCATTCTTCTGATCATCTTTGTGGCCCTCCCCTGGACCTGCTTCAACAGGTCCATGTCTTTCCTGTACTGAGGACTCCAGAGCTGAATGCAGTACTCCAGGTAGGGTCTCACTAGAGCAGAGTAGAGGTGCACGCTGGCCATGACTCTTTTGATACGGCCCAGGATACAGTCAGCTTTCTGGTCTGCGAGCACACATTGGCGGCTCATGCTCAGCTTTTCATCCACCAGTACTACCAAGTCCCTCTCAGCAGGGCTGCCGTCTACCCCTTCATCCCCCACCCTGTATGGGTACCTGGGGTTGCCCTGACCTAGGTGCAGGACCTTGCACTTGGCCGTGTTGAACCTCATGAGGTTCACATGGGCCCACTTCTTGAGCCAGGTCCCTTTGGATGGCATCCTATCTCATGTTGTCTACCGCTTACTTTTCTAGAATTCTATCATTTAAAGATTCAGGTAGACAGATATAGAGCAAGTCCACTTAAAGTGCTGCTGTAGCCTTTAGTTGACAATTTCAGCTACTACTCTACTACAGAGAAATTTATTTGAAAGAATAAATCAGTTTTGAACCATCATCAGTTACCTTGTTTGACAGAATCTCACTAAGAAAAAAGACAAGAGACTTATTGTTCTTACATATGAGTGAGCCAAGGAATAAAGGGAGAGAGGGCATCTTTTATTAGAGCAATCAGCTTAGCTAGAAAAACATACATGGTATAACTTGAAAAAAAATAGGCCAAAAAAGATACTACCCCCCTTCCAATAAAGTTTGTTATATTTTTTACTATCACAATGACAATTACACTAGTGCTGTTTGCTATTAAGGAAGAAAAAAAAACAAGAGAAGTGAAGGCAATTTTAGCTGTAAAAACAAGTCTCTTCATCATTGCACAGATTTCAGCTGAAGTGTGCAAAGCAGAAATGAGGCTCTTAACCCAATACAGCTGAAAGACAAGGAATTTGCTCTCTTCTTAATACACAGCACTTCCATCAAATTCTTGCCTCATACAGGAATGGCCAAAATAATCCCAGAATTCTTTTTCCTTTAAAATAAAATAATGTTCAATGGGGAAATTTCAGACAACTGTTTTAGCTTTAGTGAGGGGAAGATATGGGGTAAAAAGCTATAAATATAACTGGAATGGAAGGAAGTCTCACAAATAAGATAGATCAGTAATTTAAGAGAAAAACAAAGATCATAAACCAAGAGAAGAAAAGAGCAACAACACGAGATATAAAGGAGAACAGTAGTGGGTTAAAATAAGGGCAGAATTCAAGTTTTTATCTTCTCCTTTCCCAAAGAGAAAGGTATGAAGTTAAAAAAAAAATGGGTGATGGAGTGGAGGGGTGAACAAAAATCTTCAATATTAGATCTATTCAAAATAAATCACAAAGTAAAAGAAAATAGACTGAAATAAATTTAAACATGGGAACAAAACCAGAAAGACAACTTTATTGGTTTGAGAACCTCTT